TAATTTCCTTTTGATCAGGAACCAGAAATTTGTGCCTTATTTATTAGGTCCCTTTTGGACCAATTGTGTTAACAATTATTTCCTGCGTCAATTGTGGAATCGATTGTTCGCTTTGCTCTTTCCGTCGCCATATTACATAGTCTTTTGGTCCTCGTTTGGACAACATAGAATTTGTGATTCTGAAGGCCTGCTGTCTGCAGCCTTGCTTGACACTGCCTCATGCCTAGGCCTTCTCAGTATCGCCCCGAGTATAAGATTTCAAACAGGAAATTATTAAATTATTTTAGTGTGATCGTCTTCCCGGAGATTGCGAGATCGGGGTTCGATGCTTCCTCAGTCCAAGGTTATGAATGATGGTGCATCGGGTCAACGCTGTGATGTATCCTTGGAGGCACTTGGCGGTAGGGGCGGGCACGAGACGAGCCGAGTACCCGTTTCTCGCGGGTAACGGCCTTCCCGTCACTTCCCGGGCACTAAACTACTGCTCGGTACCGAGACGTGATATTGCTCGTTGGCTTGACACAACGAGTAACAGTAACGAGAGTGAGAGAGTGAGAGGTGAGAAATGACAACGCAGACAGTGCCACCCATCACTGTGCCGTCCTGTGTGTGAAACTGAAAGGGAGGGGAGAGGTTGGCGAGACGAGGCAAGTGGGGAGTTGATCAGGGCCTAGGTCCAGGTCTCCTTACCTTCCTTCACCGCCTGCGCCTGCGCAACAGGGCAAGCCTAGTTTCTAACTTTAGATCCCCGCCACGATCGGTCTTCTCGCTAAACGAGCTGCTCGTTCTGTGGGGCGAGAAGAGAAATCTCGGCCACGGCCGGCCTTCTCGCTGAACGAGTGGCTCGAACTGCGGGGCGAGAAGAGAAATTGGTCACGAGACGAGAAGTATTTCTCGAGACACGAGACGGGAAGTATTTCCCGTTCCCGGGACCGGTCCTGGCGAGAAGTAGGTCAGCTTCTCGGTCTTCTCGCTCGGGAAGGAAAAAGCGCTTCCCGCCCGTCTGTACCTGACGGCAATCTTCACTTGTCATCACAAGCAGTAACCATTTTAAAATCTGGTTTAGGGGCTCTCGTGGCCTAGAGGTTAAGGTGTTGGCCTCTCATTCAAAGGTCCCGGGTTCGATTCCGGGTAGCGACCGAAAATTGTTTTTCTCTAAATTTGTCTCCTTTCACCTCATTTCCTGCTCTCTAGCAATGTTCTGTCGTCTGCTTTCGTCTCCTCTTTCTGCCCCCACCCCCTCACCTCCTTTGCCCCTTCCTCTGGGCTCCTGATTCTTTCTGCAGCCTTTCTACTGCTACTCCTTCGCTTCTTCTTACTGCTGTCTTTCTGCCACACCCCTGATCTTCTGGTAGGAAAGATCTACACCTAGCCTTCTCGGACAAGGGCGAAAAATCTCGGAGGGCCCGTGTGCAAGTTGTGCACGTTAAAGATCCCTTGGTGGTCTAAAATCGATAAGAGTAGGCTTCGGCCGACACCCGGGCAAAATTCAAAATTTCCTACCAACTGAAAATAGTAGGAGTGTCCCGCGCGCTCATATGACCTTATGCAGTTGCGAGCGCCGTAAAACACTTACCAAAAAAAAACAAACCCAACATAAAAAGATATACAGCTCAACTTGCAGCCAAAATATATTTTATTTCAAAGCTTTGTACTGTACTCTCTCTCTATCTCTCTCACTCTCTCGTAAAACACTTTACAAAAACAAAACAAAACAAATCTGGTTTACCTGAAATTAATAAAATGAATGCATCTACGGAAAAAATGGGAAAAATTCTAAATAATTATTAGATCTAGATCCCAAATTTCGAGGTGCCGGCTAAAGACTAAAGACAGAAAAGGAATTTAGCCAATAAATCAGCTGTCTAATAAAATTATTGAAAAGGAAAAAAATAATGTTTCCGCTGGGGCTCGAACCCAGGACCTTCCGCGTGTTAGGCGGATGTGATAACCACTACACTACGGAAACAGCTACAACTGGTTGTCATTTCACAATTAGTATTCTAATAAAAATCGGTCGTTTTGTTTCGACTTTTGTATATTTTTCTTAAACATTGATAGGATTTAGGAGAAAAGTACGCCCCAAAAGTAGCACTAATATGTTAAACAGGTATATTATTTAAAAAATGGGCCCATAACCATGCAATCATCGAGATCTACCCACAATGCTTTCTGTATCAATGCCATTTTGTCCTTCTCATCTGAAGCTCAAAGCGAAATCTTTTTGCTTGACAGATATCAATTGTGATTGAAAAGAAATGATAGTGCAATATTATCTTTTGGTGATGAAAAAAATTGAAAAAATTAGAAGCAGATATTAGGTGTTATTCCCTATATCCAGAAATTGCTTTAAAAAAATACTTATCACTGTCATTCTTTCCTTTTACCTGCCTAGATTTCCAAGTGCCGGCGAAGCTTCCAATTGGCAATTTCTTATTCGAGGACTAAGAAGCATCATGGCAGACGCACGTGAGAAATTTACTTTTTTCTTTGTTTTTAGTCGATTGATTTGTTTACCTAGTTTAATTTAAAGTATGAAAGCTAAATGGAAGGGTGTGTTGTACGTTTTAAGTGTCACGCTTTTAACCTGTCTTTGGGGATTCTGATTTTATGTTCAGAGTCAAGAGGCGACTGTCTACAGTGTCACTGACCGACTGAGCCGAATATGTTCCAAATTAAATTAATGATAATTTATTTGTTGACAATTAGAATTCAATTGTAGCCCTGTACTTGTACTTCGCCCACTTCCATGCAATGATTGCCTTGAGCTCTGGTTGTCTAATTTAATCAAGGGATATACTGGGGACGTGGTTAGGGTATCTCCAGCAAGCTGAGGAAGCCCAACAACAGGTTTCATTCTAGGAAAGTATTGAGACAACAAACGAGCGGAAGCGGTCTTCCTGTTGGTAAAAATGGCGGCTTCCTTTGCTGCGCATTTTTTTACTTTTAGGCCTAATCTAGATTCTATGTCTCAACTAAGGAATTAATAATTTTCCCGTTTTTAATATCTCTCAATGGTGAAGCCGAAGCTCGGACCAGGTAGATCTATTCATTGAAATTTTGTCAGGGGGGAAGACCCCCCTGAACCCCTCCTCCGCCCCAACCACCCGCCCCACCAACCTCACTTTCTTGCGCAATAATGTACGAGTGGTCCGATATTCTTCAATCTTCCCGATGTAGATCTAGATCTAGATTCTAGATCTAGATTTAGATCTATAATCTAGATCTAGATAGATTAGATTTGAGATTTAGATTTCTACTTAGATCTAGATCTAGATCTAGATCTAGATTCTAGGTCTAGATTGATCTGCTACTGAAATTCCTAAAATCCATATCCCTTGACTAAGCTAAATAGCAACTGTGATATAGATCTAGATCTAGATCTAGATATAGACTTATATAGGCACTCTTCGGGAGAAGTGGTCCCAGCCTAACTCCATAGTATAGACATGCTATAGGCTATGAAAGTGGCTATTCTCACCCGTTCTCGCAAGATCAACTCCTCCCCTCTTCTCTCTCTCTCTGTCTCTTTTTGAATACTGTCTATCGGTGTGGACGATCAAATTGA